CCGAGTTCTATTCCTCCACCCCTCTCGGAGAGCCCGGCAAGCTACCGAGAGTATTCGATATGCCAGACACAGTAACAACAAAGTCTCCAATGGAGACGTTACTGGGCCCGCTCGAGCAAATCGATGATCAACGGGAGGGCCTTTACTTACTTACTTACTTACTTAGAAAATACTAGAGACTCGACAAAAAATCTCCTATAAACAATAGGTTTCTATAGTAAAGTGGCAGGCTACAAAATCAACACCCAAAATTTCATGGCTTTCCTATATACAAATAATGAAATAAAGAAAGAGATGTTAAAAAAAAAACTATCCCGGGGCCAGAGTGATAGCACAGTGAGTAGGGCGTTTGCCTTGCACGCGGACGATCTGGGTTCGATCCCCGGCATCCCATATGGTCCCCCAAGCAACGCCAGGAGTAATTCCTGAGTGCAGAGCCAGGAATAATGACTGAACATCACTGAGTGTGACCCACAAAGAAAAAAAACTGTCCCATTCACAATAGTGGCTCAGAAAATCAAGTACCTTGGAATCAACTTAACTACAGAGTTGAAGGAAATATGAAGGGAAAATTATAAAACCCTACTGCAGGAAATAAAGGAGGAAACTAGGAAATGTAGATACATCATGGATAGGAATGATTAACATTATCAAAATGGCAATACTCCCTAAAGCAATATACAAATTTAATGTGGTTCCTATGAGGATACCCATGACATTTTTCAAAGAAATAGACAAAACTATCCTGCGGTAGGGTGTTTGCCTTGCACGCAGCCAACATGGCCGATCCGAGTTCGATTCCTCCGCCCCTCTCGGAGAGCTCGGCAAGCTACCGAGAGTATCTCGCCCGCACAGCAGAGCCTGGCAAGCTCCCCGTGATGTATTCGATATGCCAAACACAGTAACAACAAAGTCTCCAATGGAGACGTTACTGGGCCCGCTCGAGCAAATCGATGATCAACGGGAGGGCCTTTACTTTACTTACTTTACATACTGAAATTCATATAGAACAATAAACCACCACAAATAGCTAAAACAATCCTTGGGGAAAAGAAAGTTGGTAGCTTCACCTTTCCGAACTCCAAATGAAGCAGTAGTAATTAAAGCAGCATGTAATTGGACTAGAAACAAACCCACAGACCAATGGAAAAGAGTTGATTATTCTGTCACACAATCAAATATGATCACTCAGTCTTTGATGAAGGAGCAAGAAATGTGAAGTGGAACAAGGAAACCTTATTCAACAAGTGGTGCTCATAAAACTGGACAGCTACCTAAAAATAATTAAACTCTCATCTCTATCTAATGCCAGGCACAAAATTCAGATCAAAGTGGATTAAAGACCTCCATACCAGACCTGAATCCATAAGGTACATGGAAGAAAATATAGGCAGAACACTCCATGACATTGAAGCTAAAAGCATCTATAAGGATGAAATACCACTGACCAAGCAAGTGGAAACAAATATAAACAAATGGGACTATATTAAACTAAGAGGTTTCTGCACGTCAAAAGGAACAATGACCAAAAGACAGCAAGAGCACACGGAATGGTAAGGATATTTACCCAATAACCATCTGATAAGGGGTTAATATCCATGATATACAAGACACTAGTACAATTTACAAGACAAAAACTCCAACCCTATCAAAAAATGAGAAGAACTGAACTGAAGCTTCCTCAAAAAAGAAATACAAATGGCTAAAAGACACATGAAAAAATGCTCTACATCACTAATCATCAGGAAAATGCAAATCACAACAACTATGAGATATTATCTCGCACCACAGAGACTGGCACACATCAAAAAGAATAAGAACAACCATACTGGCACGGATGTTGGGAGAAAGGGACTCTTTTATTGTTGGTGGGAATGCCGACTGGTCCAATCATTTTGGAAAACAATATGGGAGCTTCCATATTACTCCACAATACCACTTCTGGGAATATATCCTGAGAGTGCAAAAAAGCACAGTAGAAATGGCATCTGCACCTGTACGTTTATTGTAGCACTCTTGACAATAGCCAGAGTCTGGAAACAACCCGAATGCCTGAGAACAGATGACTGTTATAGAAACTTTGGTACATCTACACAATTCTTAACAGCCGGATACTTTCCAGCTGTTAGGAAAGATGAAGGCATGAAATTTATTTATAAGTGGATGGTTATGGAGAGTATCATGCTAAGTGAAATGAGTCAGAAAGAGAGGAACAGACATAGAAGGATTGCACTCATTTGTGGAATATAAAATAACATAACATGAGACTGACACCCAAGGACAGTAGACAGTAGACACACGGACCAGGAATCTTGCTCCATCGTTGGAAGCCGGCCTCATTAGCTGGGGGAGAAGGCAGCTGCGATGGAAAAGGGATCACTAAGTCTTTGATGGTTGGAGTAATCATTTGGGATTGGAGATGTGTGCTGAATGTTGATAAAGCACCAAACATAATAGCTTCTCGGTATCTATTGCAAACCATAATGCCCCAAAGTAGCTAGAGAGTATGGGGAAAACTGTCTGCCATAGAGTTGGAGGGAGGGTGGTGATGAGGGGATACTGGGGGTATTGGTGGCAGAAAATGTTCACTGGTGGAGCAATGGGTGTTCCATTACTGTATAACTAAAATTCAATCATGAAAGCTTTGTCAGTATCTCATGGTGATTCAATATAAATATATTTATACTTTTTGTTTTTAAGCAACATTCAGCAGTGGTTGGGGCTTCTGCTTAGCTCAGTGCCCAGAAATAACTCTTGGCGGTGCTTGGGGTAACATATGGGATGCCCGGATTGAACTTGGTGTGTTGCCTGCAAGGCAGGTGCTGTTCCCCCTGTACTATCACTCTGGAACCTTATTACTATAGTCTTTTAGAAAACAGCTGTGGTTTAAATGACAAAGGTATAGAAAATATAAAAGATGCTGTATTGCCTAAATCTATTTTTCTTAAGTTAGAGCATATTTCCTGATCCTTCTGATTGAAGAATGTCTCTTAGCAAATAGAGATTCCTGGATATTCATTTGGCCAATTTTTATTATGAGTATTATTTAATTTTTTATTTAATTAATGATCCATGATTTAACGAGTTCTTGATAGATTCATTTTAGGTATATAATATCCCAACACCAGTCCTACCACCAGTGTCAATTTCCTCCACCAGTGTTCCTTACTCCCCCCTCACTCTCTCACCCTTCTACCTGCCACCTTGACAGGGACATTTTAAAGTTCTATGGTTGTCATTTAGCATATTTTCATATAGATTCTCATATTTTTGATGTTGTTGAGTCTGCTTTGGCTCTCTCACATCACTGCTGTACCCAAGTTTCTAGCCCCTGTTCCCTCATTACTTCTCTTTCACAACTTCTTCCCCCCCTTGATTTCTTTCCTTCTCTGTGATTGCCACTCAATGCCTCTTTTGCAAACCACAACACCCAAAAGGAGAGAGAGAACAAAGGGGAATGCCCTGCTACAGAGGCAGGGTGAGATGGGGGGTGGGAGGGATACTGGGATCCATGGTGGTGGGAAATGGGCATTGGCGGAGGGATGGGTATTTGATCATTGTAAAATTGAAACTCGAGCACAAAATTTGTAAGTCTACAACTGTACCTCATGGTGGTACTTTAATAATTTAATGATATATAATAAATAATTTAATAATTTAATAAAAATTTTAAAAAATAATATGTGGTCAAGAGTGATCTAGAAAAATTAAGTGATCTAGGTATCCTCCATTTACTACATGGTATTTCCTCGTCCAGTAACTTTATATACCACAGATGCGATCATCCTATGTTGTGCTTCTTCTGACATACTATACTCAACATATCTTCCAGTTTCATTAAGGTTGCAGCAAATTTCATTATTTCATCATTCCAGATATATGTTAGTCCACTATGCATTTATGCAATATCTTCATACTACACTCATTTGTCATTGGACAGCTGTTTTGACATGAGAATTCTTTATCCCATGTTCATTTTAATTATTCTCTTAAAGAAATGGGATTTCAAGAAGATGGTTGTTCTTTTCAATGCACTTTTAAAACATTTCAGTCCACAATCCTTCTCTACGAATTATTTTTGATGAAAAGTTACCTGTAATTCATACCATAGTCATATGTATATAAACTCTTTTCCTTTTGGCTTATTTTCAAAGTTTACTATTAGTCTTTAGTTTTATGCAGTTTGAATATAATGCCCAGGAAAGTGTGGAGTATTGTGTGAGTGTGCATATGTGCATGTGCATGCATGTGCATTTTAATATATATGCTGCTTGGTATTTCCTGAGATTTGAAATTTGTGGTTTAGTGTCTGGTGATAATATAACCTGGGCCGGAGCGATAACATAGTGGGTAGGGCGTTTGTCTTACATGTGGCTGACCCGGGTTTGATTCCACCACCCCTCTCAGAGAGCCCAGCAAGCTACCGAGAGTATTCCATCTGCAGGCAAAGCCTGGCAAGCTACCCGTGACTATTCAATATGCCCAAAACAGTAACAACAAGTCTCACACTGGAGATGTTAACTGTTGCTGGCTCGAGCAAATCTATTAACAGTGGGAGGACAGTGCTACAGTGCAGTGCTAATAATAATTGGAATAACGGTTATTGATCCTCTGCCCAATTCTCTGTTTTTTTCTAGAGTTTTTGGTCCAACCTGTCAGATACTCAGGAGCCCTCTTTTGCTTCTTACATCAGAAAGATCACACTATTTTTAGTTTACATATATTTTTTAATAACTGAACATAATAGGTTGTGCTTTGGATGTCCTGAATCATTTCCACTGTTAGACAACAGCAGAATACTTGTGAGCAGAAGCACATAATGTAAACACTGGCTTCTATGAAAGAATTCATGGCCAGTCACGCCGGATTTGATAAGATAGAGGGAGGGGCCTTTCTGCATCGCATTCAACAAGTGGCCAATCCGGATGGGACAAAGCGGTTATTTAGTAATCTGCTAAGAAGCCAAGGAGCAAGCACACCCTGGGAGAGCTGCAGGCGCCATGGGTAGAGTGAAAAGCGGATCTAACGTTGAGCTGCGCGGGCGGAAGCGTGTCAGGGACAGTGCAGGGTCCTGTGCTGCCTTCGCTGTCATGGGCGGCCGGCGCCCAGCTGTCCGAGTCCGGATGGGGAGCTACGGGGCCCGGAGAAAGGCTGGGGCGTCCAAGAAGGATTTTGCCCGGTTGCGGCGGAAGCGCGGGTGGCGGCGTGCCCGCGGAATTGGCTCCAAAGATGAACTAGCATCCGGGAAGACGCTGGCGAACCCCTGGTCCCATGGTGAGATGGATCTGGGCGCGCAGCGGGAGCGTTGGGAGACATTCAGGAAGCGACGGGGCCTCAGCTGCGAGGGTGCTGCCAAGTTCTTGCTGGACACCTTCGAGTTCCCGGGTCTGGTGAACCACACCGGAGGCTGCCACTGCGGCTTGGTGCGCTTTGCGGTCTGGGCGCCCGCCGACCTGAGCGTTCTGGATTGCAGCTGCAGGCTGTGCAAGAAGAAGCAGCACCGCTACTTTCTCGTCCCGGCGTCGCGCTTCACGCTCCTCCGGGGCGCCGACAGCATGGTCACCTACCAGTCCAACAAGCACCCGGCCCTGCACAGCTTCTGCATCAAGTGCGGTGTGCAGAGTTTCCACACCTCTGTCTCTGATCCGAGCGTTTATGGCGTTGCCCCGCACTGCCTGGACGCGGGCACCGTGCGCAGCGTGGTCGTCGAGGAGGTTACCTGTGATTCATCGGGTGATGAGGCCACCAAGGAGCCCAAGACCGTCGCGAACAAGACCACCACCTGAACCCCTGCCTCTCTTCAGAAAATGACCGGCGTCCCGTAAACGCTCGCTGTGCGCTGGTGGAGGAGGGGGGTGGGTGAATGTGGCGGTGTGTGTGTGTGTGTGTGTGTGTGTGTGTGTGTGTGTGTGTGTGTGTGTGTGACTCTCCTGGGCTTGTATAAATTGTCCTGTCAAAGGCCTGTTTCTCGCTGGACTGGTTTGACAGATGGACCTGTGGGTTCGCTTCAAGCTTCTACCCCTCCCCTGACAGGATGTTTTGCTTAGCATAAATATCTGAGCGCACAACGAGTTTTTCTGTGATAACCCTCCAGTCAGTACAAATAGTGCCTCTACTTTTTCAAGTTACCCTTTGTGTCGAGCGGTTTTATTTCTCACACAGTTTGGCAAAACACTTGAGATTGTTGCTGTTTACTGCATGGCTATGGTGGTATTGTGAATGGGAAGATATGTAATACCACTACAGTCCAAATTGTTGTAACACGAATTAGGCCATTGCCTCTTGATTATTTTAACTTTATGTGTGTTTATGTGAGTGTGCATTCATTAAGTGGTCACAGGTGTTCTAGTCAATTACATATGCAGTATCTTAAACCATTGTCTATATAATGAATATTTTAAAAATGTGTTTAAGAATCACAGTATTTCCTTGTGCTTTTATTTCAGCTGATGTTAACATTTTGCTTGTTTTGTTGTAAATAATCTTGATAGGTTTCAGGAAGTCTGAGGAATGAAAAATATATATGTACACTATATACCTTCTTTTTAAAAATTAAATCTCTGTGAGATACCGAGTTACAAAACTGTTTATGGTCCTGTTTCAGTCGAACAGTGTTCCAATACCCACCCCTCCACTAGTGTACATTTCCCACCACCAATGTCCCCACTTTCCTTCCCTGCCCCTCCTGCAGCCTGTCTCTATGGCAGTTACTTTCTCTCTCCCCTTCCTTCTCTCTCCCTTTTCTCTCCTTTTGGCTAACATGGTTTTCAGTACAGTTTATACCTTCTTTTATGTCTTGACATTCCAATCTTGTTTTATGTGTTAATTCTCCAGAAATAAATATTAATAAAATGTGCATTTGTGTTTTATACTAAAATAACCAATAAATTACATGAAATTTGTTGATAATGAAACTTTATCAATTGGTGGTGAGTAAATCATATGGAAATATTCATGAAAATATTTATCTTTGCAGCTGGATTTTAATTTACTAGTTAAACTATTCAAGGCATATTATAAACACATCAGACAAAATGTGTTTTAAAGAGAGCACATTTTTTAGGTAAAATCACATATATAACCATCAATACTTAGTAGCACTGTAGCACTGTCTGCCCGTTGTTCATCGATTTGCTCGAGCGGGCACCAGTAATGTGTAACAACAAATTGTGAGACTTGTTGTTACTGTTTTTGGCATATTGAATACGGCACAGGTAGCTTGCCAGGCTTTGCCATGTGGACTTAGTAAATAAATAAATTAACCATCAAAATTTAGCAAAGAAAGAAATTTTCCATACCTTTAAAAAAAATTGGGTGTTTGGGTTTTTTCTTAATTTTCATATCAATAGTAGTATTTCAAAGGAGTAAAGTTCAAGTGATATTTTGTGTTTTATCACTTGAGTAAAGTGCACTAGATTTTCCCTCTGTTTTCTTTCATGCCTCTTCTGAATACATTTCATCTGACATGCACATAATATTCCCATAATAGTTTAACATGTTTTAACGTTAAACCAATTATACATGTATTTCTAGACATTCTAAGAAATATAAACCAATTATAAACGAATTATAACCAATTTAAACCAATTATATATATATATATGTTTCTATACATATCACAAATAACATGCCCTTGTAGTGGAATCACACAAAGGATAATCCATACCCTTCATCTTCCGTCTTATTCCACAGTAGAACAGATGGGAAATTTACTGTATGATTTCTTTAATATGTCCCTCTGTGGCCCAAACTTCCTTCTCTGTCATTAGCCTGTCCCAGTCCTTAAGCATTTAGAGGTTGGGCTTAGGCAGAAAAGGGTGTGAGAGAGGAATACACATGTGCTCCAGGAGGTTTACTCACCTTGGAGTTCAGAAAATACCAAAATGGGGCCTAAAACATAGAGTATAGTGGTTAAGGCACTTGGCTTGCCCATAAATAACCCCAGTTATATACCTAGCACTACATAAGGTCCCCCTGAGCACCAACAGGACCAATTTCTGAGCATAGTAAGTCCTGAGCATAGGTGTAAGCCCTGGTCATCTGCTAATGTGGTCCCAAAACCAAAGAGAGAGAGAGAGAGAGAGAGAGAGAGAGAGAGTGCATATATTAGATCCAGGGAGAAAGAAAATTTCTTAAGACTTCGTGCTTCTACCATGTCAGTGCTTTTGTTTTTTTCTTTGCAAAGAAGTGTATGGGCACACACACTTATGTATGTATATACATACATATTTGGTATACATTCCTATATATATATATATATATATATATATATATACAGAATACACACACACAACACACACTGGTTTCCCCATATAAAAACGTGGTGAGGGGAGTTTTATGATGATGGTAAGATATAAGAGTGAATGGTAGGGGGTATGGTGCCGCCAGCAGGTTAATCTGTACCTGTGAGGTGAGTCCATCAGCAGCCTGATGGCACCGTCAGACTTTCAAATACCCCAAAATTGCTGCTGTGCCTTTGGCCAGACCCCAAAAACTTGGGGAAAAGATTACCAAGAAAGTAAATGGCCAAAAGTTAGGTATGTGGGAGACACACCCACAAACCACCTCCGGCTCAGCTATGTAATTGGAAGCACGGCCTCTCTGGTTCTTGATCAAACTGGTTAACGACCATGATCCCAGAGACTCAGAAATGAATCTTGGAACCCAAAGGTTTTTGGCAGAAATGTGTCCTGTTCTGCAGTAAGGTACTGGCGCTGGGTCACTCCAGGTGGGAATAGGTTTCATGCCTTGGCCTGTTCCCCCTGGCAAATCGGTGACCGCCATCCTCCAGAGGCCATTGGACAGTCAGGTTTGGGTGCAGTGACGAGACACGTGGGGCCTCACCAGATCGGGGTGGAACTGGCCCTTTCCTACCCATCCCAACGAGACTCCGAGTCGCTGCCTACAAACGTCCTCTCTGGTTCCTAATCAAGCTAATTGACGACCATGATCACAGAGACTCAGAAACAAATCTAGAAACCCAGCGACTTGACAGAAATGCATCTGGACCACATACAAGGTGGTCGCCGCCTCAGAGCTTATAGGAAAACCAGGTATGAGCCTGTGGTGACGGGGCAACTGCAGTAACATGGGAAGGGAGACGGTACCGGCTCGTCCTTCACTCCCTACCAAGGTCACGAGTTGACCCCCACGAGTGGCTCTATGGCACAGCCATAACACTAGACACACAGAAACCAATCTTGTAATTATCTGACTCTTTGAAGAAATCCAAAATCATTATATGATTCTCATAATCAGGTATAGTAAAGTAAAGTAAAGGCCCCCCCGTTGATCATCAATTTGCTTGAACGGGCCCAGTAACGTCTCCATTGGAGACTTTGTTGTTACTGTGTCTGGCATATCGAATACTCTCGGTGCTTGCCGGGCTCTCCGAGAGGGGCGGAGGAATCGAACTCGGGTCGGCCATGTTGACTGCATGCAAGGCAAAGGCCCTACCGCTGTGCTATCGCTCCAGTTCCAGGTATAGAAAACAAAGTATTTAACAATGCCTTTTCAGCAATTCTGATTGTTGGGGGGGGGGATTCTAAACAATAATGGTGCATCTTTTGTTAAAATAATGAATGTAATCAATGTAGAGTAAAGTTAAGTAGAAATCATCTGCCTCACAGTCATTGGGAGGGGTGTGAGGGGGGTATGTTGGGGTTCTTGGTGGTGAAAAATGAGTACTGGTGAAGGGAAAGGTGTTTGATCATTGTATGACGAAGACTTAAACCTGAAAACTTTGTAACTTTTTCCACAGTGATTCAATAATTAAATATAAGAATAAAAATAAATAAATAAAATTATGAAAAAAAGAGTGAATGGTAGAACCTAAGGCTTAAAAATGTTGTTGGGGTAAAGGGTGAAGTCCTAGGTGTCTGTGGAGGAATAATCAGAGAGGAGAAATGATGATTAATTTAGGCTCAGTGAAGAGTGTAAGGTGGCAAAGGAAGAACAGAAGTGTTTCTAGGAATAGTTAAGGGGGTTACCATAGGTTTTCAATTTAGTTTCTTTTCCCTATCTCCAAAGAAGGTCTAAATTCAGCGTTATGTGATATCTATATTTTCTTATTGAACAAGAAGTACAAAAATCTTTAAAACTGTGAACAAAATGTTTGTCCTAGCATCCTTACAGCCATCACCAACACTCATAGTGATATGTGTGCCTTGTTTCAGAAATCTCTTACTTCAAGAAAAGAGCAAGAACTTGGCATTTGGGTTTGGATTTGTAAGATATAACTGTCCACTCTCACTATGAGAATAGAGTGAGGTCAATGAATAGGAATCTTTCGCAAAATGACTGAACCCAACAAGCACTTAACAAGCATTGGTATACTATTGATCTTATTGAATAAGGACATTGATAAAAATCAATATCCATCATTGTGCTCAACTCTTGGTATGATACACTTTTATTTTCAATCTCTCAACTGTTTGGATACTTAAAGCAAGTGTCAGGACAGTCTGGTGACCATAGAAGTATTAATATACTACAAGTCTGAAGGGCGCTAGATGCTCTATGCCTTTGTCAGAGAATAACTAGTTTCTTCTCTAACCTCCCAGACATTTATCTACCTTCTTTCATCCAAGGTACTAACAGAAGAATCACCCTACAGTGATTCCTCCTCTCATCCTACCTCATTAAGTATCCTGTCTCCCTTTTACTCTACTGTATATATACTGGGTTCCCAGCACTTTTCTTAATGCTGAGATACAACAGAAAACAAAATGCAGCAATTCTTAAACTAGTATCAATTATATCTGGCGGATGAGAGACAAATAAACAGCAGCATATAAAATAGTGTGAATCTATATAG